TATATATATATATATACATATTGTGGTAGTACCTGCTGCCACGTTTTGGGTGGCTGTCTTAAGATGATATTCAGCCCCAACCTTATAGAGGTCCCTGATCATACATTAGAGGTCCCCTATTGTACGTTCAGAGGTCCCCGAATTACACAGTCAGCGGTCTCCTGTTATACATGTAGAGATCCTCTATTATGCGTTCAGAAGTCTTCGAGTGCACATTCAGCGTTTTTTGTTTTTATATTATTCTGTGTTGAGACAGCATTCCTTCGGCTAGGCTTTGTGTTGCAACGATGGGGTTCGTGCATGCGACATGGTCGCGGTTCTGTCTGTCTGTCTGTCTGTCTGACGCATACATACTACACACATACGAATATGTATTATATGCAATTCACGTAAGCACATACTATAGTATCGATTTGCTCATGCGTAGACTTGGCTTTGACACTAGTCATGGCCACAGTAAGCATGACAACTACTACGGTTTGCAAGGGCTTGTGGTTGTTTCTACACAGGGAGGTATTTCTGGCAATCATCTGCATGTGGTGCGCATGCTCGAATATTTGGTTTCTTCTCTTACTTGTCACGTGTTGATGTTCTTCGAGCACTACTGCGGTAGAATTCTGTATGCGGTGTGGTGGTCCTTTCGTGTTCAAACTGCCACATCTAGCATTGTTCTTAGCACTTGTGACCACCGCCGTTCTCATGACCATGGTTACACGGATCCACGATCGCTGGCAATTTTTCCATCGTCGTCATACATCATTGCAGGCGTCATGATCATGATATCTTCCCCAGAGGACTATGTGCCGACCCCATGCGCCCCCTGCAGGATGCGGCATCAACAGCCAGAAAATTGGTCGAGTCCGGCGAGTACTTGCAGAAGACCACGCTTGGTTGAGAATGCAAAATGGCCGAGTGGGGTTTGTAGTTCGCTCAGACCGGAAGCTGAAGTCATGGCAGGTTGTCCCAGAGCACTACACGAAAACCCCCAAGCGCAACAGCCCCTGTCGGCCCCTGTGCCAAAACATGATCAGCTAGCAAGTGAAGCAGATGTGCCTACGGATCCGGCATCTCTATGTTGGGGGCGCAGACGCCATACAACGAGAATAATCTCGGTTGGAAAATCCCCTGTGTTTTCTGAAGAGCAGCGGTTCCTGATTGAGGGTTGTATTCAGGATATTCAAGGGTCCCTATCAATGTCGTGAAACTCCACATGTAAAAGAGCAAAGTGGCACAACTGAACTTCAGGCAGATCTTGACCTTCGCTAGCAAGGGCTGAGGATGTGTTTCTTGCGGCATCCGAGTCAACGGCAGCTTTGCATCTCAAACAAACGCAGGAAAGCATCCCGGCAGTGATCTCAAATATTCTAGACTTTTCACCACGAGAGGCATGCTCGCAATAGCAGTGAAGTGACTGGCTCGTAGGTCCACGCTTGCAGGACCATTAAATTAGAAGTAGTGACATGAGCTCTCTCCCTCTCTATGCGTATATATATATATATATGTATATATATATATATATGGTACCCCCCCCCCAGGACCTACCTCCAAACCTGT